TAAAAGCTCAAATGCTGTACATGAGAGGTTAAGCTTTATTGGCTCCTCCTGGCTGTTTTACAAGGTGATTCCATATAGTTTCCGGCATGACGTCAAATGACGCAATGCGACACGCCCACCATGCGACACACCCACCGCGGTGTACCGCGAAATACCCCACGCGTTTTGAATGTGATTCATTTTTTTTAATAAAAGAAGGATAAAATTCAAATTTCTCCCTCCCTCCACATAATTAAATATTGTATATCTGTAGCTTGTTGAACATCGCTTTTGCGCATTTTTCTCACACAATTTTGAAAATTGACCTTTTCTACAGTATTCTCCATGGCTTCTCTTTTTTCTAAAGACAATGTAAGCAACAGGTCTTTTGTACCCTACAATTCCCACAGCTTTCAGCACTACCTTTCCACCTCAATCCAGCTGTTCTTTGACTTCTACTTCTCCAGACACCAGGAAAAACAGTCAGCCTCCCTACAGACCCCTTTTCATTCTCCATTGCTTCTCACTTAGCTCCCTCACCATTATCTCCTCACACTTGCTGATCTTCCAAGCAAGTCTAGACTCAGCAATGCAACCAACATTCACCTCCTTCCTGCCAGGATCGGAGAGAAGAAATATCACCTCCACTTTGATCTCTAGGCTCACCATAATTTCACCACTCCTAGCATAAATTGACTGATTCTCAGTTCTTACTTCTCCCTGCATGATGTAGCTCTGAGCATGCCTTTCATTTGACTAAACTGTTGGGTAGAAATGCTGGCTTGTACTTGTAAAGATCATAGTGGTTGACATGAATTTTGGGCAACTTTTCATGATGTGCCGGTAAAGTAAATGTTACTTTGCCGCCTGTCTCACTTTCAGGTGCTGAAGCAGCCCAACATTTTGATAGTGACAGAACTCCTCTGTGGATTGAATTAATTATATCCTCTCTTTAGTTCAGAATTTTTAGACATTGCTCGTTATGGTTCCATCATCTTGTGACAAGAGGGCACCCTAACGTCTAGTGGCGGCTGCAGCTGTGCGGCAGAGGCACAGACCAAGCAGATCTCTTTAGCCAATCCTTGCTTGCCTAGTGTACCTAGCTCTTCACACCTTCCCTCCTCAGGCCTATTTAAACCCTGCTTCCTGAGGATGCTGTGCTCAGAATTGTTTTTAAAACATTGAGCTCTAGATCCTGTCTTTCTCTATCTTTTTCCCCTATTTAAAATATTTTCCTCCTTGTCTTGACTACTTCCCTGGTTAGCCCTTTCTTGTTTTTTTAGTTCTTGGGCTTTGTTTCCTTTCTGCATCTTGTTTTTTCCCCCCAGTTTGTTGTCCCATGCTTCTGGTCTTTTGTGTCGGTTCCTGGATTCACCTCACCAGTTTTTGGATATTACAAAGTGCCGGAACTGCACTGTTTCTCAAAATTGGTTTTGGATTGTGTTTCATTGTTGTCTTTCTGGATTGCCTTCATGGTTCTGGATTTTTTCTTGTTTTAAGACTCTGGCTGTGGATTGCACTTTATTGTCCTCATATGAATGTCTGTTGGAACCTGCATAGGCTCCACTTCTTGTATATCTCAGCTCTTACGTTGTTCTTGACTATAAGCCATTCTTTGCCTCTTTACCACAAGCTACATTCCATTTGATTATTATGGTTCTCTCTATTTTCCTTTGCTCACTTCTGTTAAAAGCACAAGCCTCTCTCACTTTTTGATCATGAGTTTTGGTATGCACAACATTCTTTCAGTCTGATTTTTTTTTCTTTGCATCACGTTTTTCTGTTACATCTCCTTGGATTCTGGCTTCAGGGTAGGATTAGGTCTTGGCTCCTGCCCTTGAAGGATGTGAATGGTGTCACCTCTGTATCCCAGGGATCTCCAGCTTTACTGAAACTACTCTCTTTTTGGCTTTTACTTACAGTAGACAAATGAGTTCTGGCTTTGGCCATGTGAAATCCCAAACTTTTTCCTTTGCATTCCTCTGTTACTCTGTTACAGTATATAGCCTCCCAGCACTTTATCTCTGAATGATTTTCAAGGGTTCCAATGATCCCTCCATATCCCCTTTTCTCTGTCTAGCCTTCTAATTTATATCCTTCTTTAGATCATTTTCTTGATTTTCTTGCAATAACAAAAAAAAACTACCTTAACATCAAAGTAATCCTATAAAGTCCCAATTTTTCCATAAACTCCTTGCTCTGCTGTCTCTCGTACATAAGTTGGATTCCTACTAAACATACCCCAAAGTGGAAACACCACTACAATCTAAATATATTCTTATTATTCCATGATGTCTACCATTCATTGCGTGTCAACTAGACTCCAGAAGCATTATTTTTTCTGGCCTTCTTCATATTTTTCTATTGTGCCACATTCATTGCCATTAGACACACTATTAGCCCTCATCTTCATTACTGTTTATCAGTCCTTTTGTTTGCTTTCACTTTCCAGAGACTCCTCCTGAATCTATTTAGCATCTTCTGCAGCCATCAAGGAATACCAGTAATCACTAACATAACTATAAGATTGGCGTTCCTCTGAAACCTTACAAATACAATACAGATCTCACAATCTGCTATAAGAGAACTTTGCATTAGTTTTTTGAGGTCCAATTAGTCTCTGGGGGTTCTGTCAATCGTGTCCTTATGGCAAAGCTGCTGTTCCCTCAGCCATGTGACTTACACTAAAATAAATTTCCAATGCTGCTGTCTCTATGTCACATTCATGAATTTTATTAAGATTGAATTCTAATCTCACCCACTTCTGCTCGATTTCATATAGATACAGTATGTTACCTGATAAGTGTTCCTTTTGTGCATATTTCTTGCAGCTCTCCCTCCATCCCACCCTGATTTCTTCCTCAGGAAAGTGAGGAGGGTTCTGTCAGTCTTGTACCTATGCCAGGCTGCTGTTTCCTCAGCCATGCGATTTATGCCAAAATATGCAATACTTAGTTATGTCTCTGCAGCACATTAACCTTTCTGTATTCATTAGAATTTCAACAATAACCTAACAAGATAGTTGGCATATTCATGCAGTGTATGAACAAGAACTATGGTAAAACACAGTATAACAATAAACCCAAATAGAAAAAGAATAGCTACTGTGTAATAGAAGATACCTTGCTGTGATGGTTATTAAAGATATGATAGATTCATGAAAAAAATAATCTACCATAACATATTTATTCTGGGCATTTTCTTTTAAGGGTCATTATTGTGCAGGAAGGTCAAAGAAAGTTGCATTTATGGATATAAATGGCTTGACATAAAAAGCATAGAATATCAGTTACATTGTCAATGACAATACATTAGAAGAGCACAAAAGGAAATATCAAATTAGAAAAATTCCAAAACTATTTGTGATTTTTCTATGTATGGTGTGTATGTATGTTTTTAATGATAATCGAATAATTTAAATGTCAATTGATTTAAAATACTTTTATATTTGTTTTTCAGGATATGTACTATGCGTCAGTCAAAGCCCTGTATACAGTGGGATACAGCACATCTCTTGTCTCTCTTACTACTGCAATGGTAATACTTTGTCGTTTTAGGTATGTACTGTGTTTTTGCCTTGGCCCTTGACATACAGTACCTTCTGCTGAATAATCACAGTAAAAGTGTATAAGGAAAAAGTGAAGGTCTCTTCCATGCTGAAAAGAGAAGAAAGGAAACACAATGTTTTGGCTGTGTAGCCTTCTTCGGCTGACACCCGATGAAGGCTCCACAGCCAAACGTTGTTTCCTTTCTTCTCTTTTCAGCATGGAATAAACCTTTACTTGTTCCTTTGCAGCCTATGCATGCTGATCCAGCTACCTGCTTGTAAAAGTATATAGTTTATCTAAGCCTCTAAACTTTGTTCACTCCTGTTCAAAACTGTTTAAATCAGATGTTGTATGTGGTTGATGTGATTACCACTTCCATTAATCTTGTAAATCTTGTTATAGCAAAATTCATGCTATAAAACACGTTCTTGCTAAACAAAAAGATCTGAAAAAAAGGGTGGTTTAATTATTTTTCAAACTATTATGGAAACACTTTTTAGGTTTTCTCTCCTGTGGAATTTTTTTAAAAAATAATTTCTTAAAAGCAATGTGCAAGCTGAAGACAGATATAGCAGAAAATAGGTGTTGTGTTGAAACCAGTAGTAAAATAAATAATATACTGTAAAGATTTTTTTTTCTTGTTTTAGAAAACTTCACTGCACCAGGAATTTCATTCACATGAACCTATTTGTGTCTTTCATTTTACGTGCCATATCAGTATTTATTAAAGATGCTGTACTCTATGCTGAAGAAGACTCCCAGCACTGTCCAATTTCTACAGTAAGTAATAAAGGGAACTTAAATAAGAGTGTAATTTAAGCAAGAATGTAATTTGTTAAATAATGTTCCCTTGTTCTGAAAATGCATACTTTCTGTAGAATTTCTGAAGACATGGTTACTTTTGAAATGTAAGAAGTTTTTTTTTGTTTTAAGGAGTAAAAAATGGTATTTATTGTACTTTGAATGATTGACAAGCCTTTTAAGAATTAGAAGAGATTATTTCTAAAGAAAATCAATTGATTACTTAGCTAAAAGCTAAGTTTAAAGCAGTTATGTATATAGTGTAGCAGTTCCCCATAACATGAAGTTTCTTGGCATTCAGAAGCATTTTTCTTTTCCAAAGTTCTCCTTTCTTTCACAGTTTCTCTCAAACCTCTGAGCTCTTATTCTGTAATTTTCTTGAACTATTCAAACTAAACGGACCTCGAGGGTGGGGTGGGTAGGGTAATGGAATCACCTTTACAAAAAGTAAAAGGATTCTACATTTCATGTGAATTTTATTACTGGTTACTAAAATGTTTGCACTATAAAAGAAAACTTTAAATCAACATTTTAATATGTGAGTTTCTAAAGCAACGTGAGACAGATTTTGAAATATGATCAAAGAGTTGGTTTTATGTCAATGGGAACAGTTTCAAAAATCGTGATGGCAAACGAGGGAAAACAGCATCAGGAAAGAGGAAAAGTGGTTGCATGTCAAAGCTCACCTCACCGACAGAGATAGTTCCGCAGAAATATTCAAACATGATCTGCATGCTGGATTAACTAGTATGTTGTATTTGTCAACAAAACCATCTCTAAGTCGATATGTTGAATTCAGTTCAATTGCACTCATTTAAATTAGCTGTTCAGGCAACGACATGGGCCATGGCACAGGAAGCCCTCCAAAAATATAAGTCCTGCTAGAATTTTTCTTTTAGTTGTGATGTGCCATAAAGTAACCATCGATTTCAATGACAGAACATTTTTGAAAAATTTGAAAATGAATGTCAGTGTTGGTTGGCAGGTTGTTCTTTTTTTTCCAATACCAAAATAAATTATTTAAAAAAACATGTTGCCTTGAATGTGTCGGTTTCATGAAAATATTCTCTATTAATACAGTATCAAAATTTGCTTGGTTTAAAGCAAGTTTAATGTAATGGGGCCGGTTTCGTGTCACTGGAAATTTTGTTGCCGTGTTCTGAATCACAGACAATGACAGCAGTATGGAGCTACGCATACAGTACATTGAAACTTATGTTTAAGTCAAACTACTTGACTTAAATCAAATACCTTCCATGGCCTTCCCAATCACAACACTCATCTTAACATCATTGAGCCTCATTGAAGAATTGAACCTTTATGGGAGGTTCTGGAATAGAATTCCACCTTCTTCATCTGTCAAAGAACTGGAGGCTTTCCTTCTTGAAGAATGGTCCAGTGTACCAATAGAAATAGTTCAAAACCTTTATAACAGTAATCCAAGAAGGATTAAATATGTTCTGAAGATAAAGGGTGGCCTGAGTCCTTATTAGTTATTAGTTAAAACATATTCATATTTACTTGTGTTGCCAATATTTTGTCCATCACCAATATTTGCACGTAAAGTTGTTAATTATCTATTCTTTTTTTCTTGGAAGTAATGCAGTTAGTCATGCAATACATTTGAATGGACACTCAAAAGTGTATGACCATATCATTGTAGAAAATTCTACATGAACTTAATGGACTGTTTCTTTAGATTTTCTATACTTGTTGTCATGATTTTGTTTGAACAAACCTTTAAGTGCTGTATAGTATAGTATAGTGTATAGTAATTATGTTGCAGAATCTTTCTGAAAAAAAAAACAGCTACAGTAATTTGCCTAGATAACCCCTTCTGTCTAAAAAATAATAATGTACATGTTTTTTGAGTGTTCAATACAATACAATAAAGGTTTTGTTGAATACTTGCATTCAATATTTGACTTATAATTTATTATTTTTTCCAGGTCGAATGTAAAGCTGTGATGGTTTTCTTCCATTACTGCGTCATGTCAAACTATTTCTGGCTGTTTATTGAAGGACTTTATCTTTTTACTTTGCTGGTGGAGACCTTCTTTCCTGAGAGAAGATATTTTTATTGGTATACAATCATTGGATGGGGTAGGCTAACCTTTCTTTTGAAACTTTTAGCTCATAACATTTTTTTGTGTTTTCATTTTCCAGAGGTTATAGGAGATTGCTAAAAACAATATTTTGTAGGTTTATTTGGTGAACAATTTGAGGAATACACAATGAGAATCATTATATATATATATAATATATTTATTTTTCTCAGTGGTTTAATTAAAACCAAAAACTGGATTTTTTTGTGTTGAAGAAAATATGACTGCTCGTTCCCTTCTCTTAATCTGTTCAATACATGTAATTGTACACAATTAATATTAACAGTATATATTTGAAATACATGTAATAGAAGATTCAAAAGATTTAATTAATCTGCAAATAGAAGATACATTTCTGCATTTTAATGTATTTCCAGGCACACCTACAGTATGTGTTACAATATGGGCAGTACTCAGACTTCATTTTGATGACACTGGGTAAGTAATTTTCAGTAACAACACTTTATTCTATTTTTGGTGGTTTATATTTTTTCAATGCCCTCTCTGTTGTCAAGTTCTGTTAATGTCATATTTGCTTGTTTGTTTTTAATTTATATTTCACCATTTAGACATACATAAGTGTTCAGTTTTAAGGACTTGGGAGATTTAAAAAAAGTTTGTTCTTTGATATTTTTAAAAATTAAAATCCTAATTAAAAACACTATATGTCCTTAATGCAGTATTTTCTGTGGACATCGCTTATGCAGTAATTCTCTATTTCAGAAGTAAAAAAAAAAATTAGATAAAGAGGCAGCTGTTGTGTATAAGCACTTAAACATATTTCCATTAATTCATAGAAAATAATTTGTGCCCATTGTTATTCAGTTTTTTAAAACTATTTGTAAAAGCCTGAATGGGTTCTTTTGTTTCATGCACTGTGAATAGAAATACTTAAGATAAGAAACAATTTATAGCAAAACAATATTTTATCTGAAACAGATGTTTTAAACTGTAAATTTGTACTTTTTATAGATGATGTTTATTTGTAATAACATTTGTAATGTTTATACTGTAGGTGCTGGGATATGAATGACAACACTGCTCTCTGGTGGGTGATTAAAGGGCCTGTTGTGGCATCAATTATGGTAAGTAACTTACCACAGGATAGTTATTAGTATGTTATCTAGTAAGTTATTCAAATAATGTAAATATATAAGCTAAGGATATTTAAAATATATCTCTAAATATATGAATTTAGTTTCGTGTTGGTAATTTTCTTTAATTACATTCTAAAAGGTACAATATCACTAATTATTGAATAACAAATGTATAGATATTGTGCATCAGAATTATGGTTACAGAAAAATGGTAGCACAGTGGTTAGCATTCCTGTCTCATAGTGCAGGAATGTTGGGGGTCCTGGGTTCAATTCCGGACCTAGGGTGCTATCTGTGTGGATTTTGTATGCTCGTGTTCTTGTGGATTTTTGCTGCATGGCAGGTTAGTTTGCTTCTGGGAAAATTGTACCTGGTGTGAGAGTGTGTCTGTCTGTGTGTATACCCTGCAGTGAAGTGGTAACCCACCCTGGCCTGCCTTGCGCCCGTTGCTTGCTGGGATAGGCTCCAGCTCCCCCACGACCTTAATTTTGGAAGTGGCTTAGAAAATGGATAGATGGATGTTTAGTCTTTTTTTAGTGTCAAACATGAGAATCAGAAGTCATAAAATAGATGGTATTTTTCCTTCTAGATAAACTTTGTCCTCTTCATTGGAATTATAATTATCCTTGTGCAAAAACTACAGTCACCTGACATTGGAGGGAATGAGTCCAGTATTTACTTGTGAGTATGAACTTAAAACCCTGTTGTTTTATGAAAAGTGTAAAACCATACGCATAGGAAAACAGATAAATTAAACATCTGTTCATGTTACATTTTTAATAGCAAAAATATCCAAACACCCTGTCCATGAATTAATTCTTTACTTACTTTTAAAAATATAATTATATAATTAAAGCTTTGTTAAAAAAATAATTGTGTAGATGCAGTAAATAATGCAGCAGATAAAATACAAGACTATATTTCCTATATTTCCTTTTTATAATGCATCTTAAACCCTATGAATAAAAACATCAGGCAGAATAAAAATATTAATACTTTTCTTTTCTAATTAATGCATGCTATTGTTTTTTTTTCTTTATAAACATATTTTTGGTACAAACAACATTAACCATATTTGTAGATTTTCACAATAAAGTGCCATTTATTTTGTATTTATCTACTGTACATTATAACAAAGAAAAAAAAATAACTTTCCTTCAGGAATATCTATGATCACCCTAATCCTAAAGTTGCTCATTATTCTCTTTCCTTCAATTCAAGGTTCATGATAGATTGCCTGTTGTAGTTTGAGGCACTTTATTGAAGTTTACATTTGATAAAAATAAAGGTTTTCTAAAGTGTTAAATGAAAGAATGAATGAATGCAGTGGCTCTAAATCTGGGAAAAGTTTTAAAATATAAAATAATTAGTTTAATTATCTTAATGCTTTACACCACATTTTATTTTATTGATCCTTTCTCACCATTCATGTAATTTGAACTCAATTCTATTTGTCATGTCACATTGCTGGAAGTGCAGTCTAGTACTCTCCACTGTATATGCATGTTTACAATAAGTCTAGATTCTGTGTGCAGGTACAACATATGGACATTTTGAAGGTAAAACACAAGGGAATGTACACCACATTGATTTATAAAAACATACGTAATAAATTATCAAGAACCTGACCAGGTAAAATGAAGCAGTTCAGCTACATGCATTACTGTCACAAAAAAGAACATGACAAGACATGTTTGGGGACTTTTCTCACCAGAGTAAATCATAAATACACATTGAGTGTCTGTAATGGTGTCCCAAAATGGCTAATGGATGCTTTTTGATGAGGTTTCTGAGTAAATATTTTTGCTGCATCTGTACAGTACATATTGTACAACACATATTTACCCAAACAAATAAACGACAGCTATATATATATATTTTATCCAGATATTTTGCTTAGATTGCTGTGTATTGACGTAGGACCAAAGTATGAGGACTTGGTCTTTTTTTTTTTCTTAATTTACTGTATTTTGTTTTTAATAACGTGGAATTCACCAATAGAGGGAGACATTTTACTATACTTCCCCCTGCAGAACATGAGTACATTTGATGAGGTTTTAACTTATCACCTGATGATTTAACAATAAGCCATATTCTTGTGAGAATAGGATTTTTCTTATAATCATGAACTTTTAAATTTGAATTAAATGTATTGGTATAATGGTAGCACCCCCTTGCAAAAAATTGTGTTTTTTATTACCTGAATTTACATTTCTACAATGAAGTATTCAAACTTAAAAAAACAACATTACCTTTATTCTGAAAGCAAAAAAGAATTAAACAGAGAAAATGGAAAATTCCTGAAAACATTTGTACCCTAATGCCTTAGACTTAGTAGATGATATAGGTTTAATGTGTTAGGGTTTATTAGATCTAGAATTGTAATTCTACTGCTACTTTTAGTTGTGTATATTTTAAAATTATCATGTAACAAATAACATTTTAATACTGTAATTAAGCCTTGTGATTAGGAATTAAAAAGGTTAAATAAAAAAAATCAAAGAATTTAGATATACTACAGAAGTACATAAATTTAAATATAAACATTTTATAAAATGAATAATTTCTGTTGAATTTCAGTAATAATGTGAGATGGTTTGATTCATGCAGATATGTTTTAAGTGACTGCAATTTCAGTTTTCCTATGTGTATAGTTTTCTGTAGTGTGCATAATTGTTTCATGTGTTTTCACAGCTTTATTATTATGCGTGCAGCCTGTAAATATTTGATTTTAAAGTGGAGTGTTGTTCATCAAAGCACTGGAGTTTCAGCAAAATAAAAAGATAAAACAATGTGTCAGGACTGTCTTCAGTCCATTTTCAAGTTTATATTGCCTGCTTGCGTTGTAATTAAGCCTTCACACTGGGTATGTGCCCATTTCTCATTCAGTTCGCACTTTGTTGCCTTGTCCATATTTCAGTTTGCATAATATGGTGGAACGTCATATTAAATACCATAACATCTGTACAGTATATAAAATAAAGCAAATCACTGTTAAAGAGCTGGTATGGATCAAACATACATTATGAGGTCTAACATTTTGTATCATAAATAATATATCAAAAACAGGAATTAATGCCATTATTCTGTATTAAGTCTTATTTGTTTTGTTTTTTTTGTGTTATAGGTTAAGCTATTTAATATAGAATTTTATTATATATTTTAATTTGGCATAAAATGATAGATTAGCTTCATAATCTTGGTTTTTGTGATCGGAGTCTCCTAGTCTTCATTTTCACTTCCTTGATTAAACTAATAATGTAATTGAGCAGACCTTTTTAACTTTGTGCTCTTTTTGGGATGTCATTTTCGCTTAGTAATATTATAAGGTAATATTATAAAAGGTAAGATGAAACAATTCAAAACTAATTGATACATTTTTAGTTATATTTTGTGTCAACACAGAACAAAAACCAGCAGGCAGTGGGACCACAAAGCCTTGGAGTAGATAGCCCTGAATTAACCTTTCTATGCTGAATTCAGGGCTATGGCTCAGGAGAGACTAACCTGGTATAATACACTTTGTAGTCTATTCTCATCATATTTCAGAAGTAATACTTGCCCTGGTCAGTACCAGGATTGGAGACCTTCAAGTAAAACCAGGTTGTTGCTCAAATGGTGTTGATGGAGCACTAGGTGGCACTCCTCCCTCTCTCCTAGAAAATTGCAAACAAATGCAATTGCCTTACTATGGTTGCAGCACAAGACCCTGCTAGGTCAATAAAGACCCATTGGTATTTTATGAAGGATGAGTGTTTCCACTGCCCAAATTCAATTTGGTAATTAAGAGGTCAATGTTAAAACAAAATCCAGAAAACCTTGTACCTGAACTGAACTGGACTGAACATAGGTAACAAAATTAAATGCTTTAAATCTATGAATAATTCAATTATGTTTTTAATAAGACTTTAGTATGAGATCTGTATATCTAACATAGTATCTTATAATATTAGTACATTTTATGGAATGTTTCAACAACCTATCTTAGAGACACTATATTTTCCTGCTAAATTTATTTAGAAAGAATAATAATAAGTTAAAGTAGTTTTAAAGGGTACATTTTATGCTACTGAGTGTTTACTCTTAACTTTACAGATTGAAGAGATTTATGTTCTATCCATCTCTGGATTGTCATATTCCGTGGGATAGTGTACAGCAGACATTTTAACTAGTAAAAGCCTAAAAAACAAATAGAGTGGAAGTACTCATCGAATTAATCTGAGTGGGAAATTAAAATACTCCAGGTTGAGGAATTATAAAATGCAATTTTGCAAGGCAGTCAATTTAGCCACCCTTGCATAATACCATGGGATATTTAATTACTATAAGAAATTAAGATTTTCTAATGCTTTCAAATTGTGTAAGAACTTAACATTTTTGTGCCATGTGCTATACTCAGCTTTTTGGGAAATTGATTCAGTTGTAAATAATGTCTTGAATTGCAACTGAAATGACTACACAAAAAAGTGAGCAGCGATTTTTTTTAATTTATTTTAAATTTCAGTCAACATGTTTTCCAACTAACAGACAATTAAATAACTTACAATAACTTTGCCATATTACTCATTTCAACCATTCAGAGACCTTGAATGGTTTGCTCGTGTGACGTTTCATTAAATGCTCCTGGTATATTCCCTGAATAGTCAGCGACTTGGTCATTATTGCAAACATTGTGTAAATTACTGAAAGGGTGTATATAATATGAGTAATTAATAATAAAACAATTCAACTTAAAGTTGTCTGACCCATACTATGTTTTTGTAACATAAATGTGTTCTGCTATCACCAGCAGCAGTGCTAATTATCACCAGAAAACATCACTCGTTACTAATATTCATTATTAACCCACATTAATATACAACTTATAGTTGTGAAGCTTGATAATTATGAGTTGTCATATTATATTTGTAGGGATGTTTGCTCTGAGCCATCTGGATTGTGATTGGTTTTATAGATTTTCCATTATGTTCAGTTGTGTTAGCAGTCATAGTTGTTGTTGTTGTTTAGAAGTGATCACTCAGGTGGCTCATTTTATGCAGTCAATCCAGTCTGAGTTGATCGTGGTTGCTTTATTTCATGTAGTGACACAGCTGCAATCTAGTAATGCTAATTGGATAGAGACCCAACATCAACAATTATCACCAGGTTTATCTTCATTGTGATTGATCTCTAGAGATTTCAGAATAAAATTAACAAATTCAAGAATGAACTGTTGCTACCCTATAAGAGCTTGAAAGCTTTGGCTTCAGACTATACAAGTAAACTCTTATCTCCCTAAACACTTGCCCATCATTTGCATTCTTTGGATAGTGGCCTTCTTTTTAGATCCCAGTATGAATCTCTCTACTGAGGACTGAGAGGTTGTGCTTTCTGTTCCTTTCTCCAAGGCTTTGAGTGCATCTCTTCTATTTCTGAGTTCACAGCCTATCAAGATATTACATTCAAATAGGATGATCATGTACTGTAGCTGTTTGGAGTTAATTATTTTATGTTGTGTTTTATATATAGTGTACCAAATGATGTAAAATGATGGTTTTTGTTGCAGTTTAAAATGCGACAGAAGAGCTGATACAAATATTTAGGAACTTGAAGTAGGATACTGACAGGGGAATGACAGGATAAATAAAGAAAATAGTTTAAGAAAAACTTCATACACGTGGACATCATACTAAGGAGTATTTTGTAAGTTTATTTTCCCTAGAAACTTCAAAGGTTTAACATGCTGCTGTTACAAATGTTACAACCTGTAGTATAATTTGTATGAAGTAGGTAATGGTGTGTTTTTAATGTCTAACGTGACTTAGTTTTAACTAAAATGTTGTTATTATTTTTAAAACTAGTATTCCAGGTACTTGGATTTAAAAGATGTATGTTTGTTTAAGCATGACCTTCAATATCTGGTGGACAGGATCTAACCTTTCCTCCAAACAAGTTTTTTGACTTGTTCACTATTTACATTTTGAAACTACCAATTTAGACATTTTGTATAGAATATCACAGTCTGCTCAAAAATATTGTAAAAAGTCTGGATTATTGTCTTTAAAGAAGCTGTGTGAACATGTTCTAGAAAGTGTTCTTCACAATAAGAACTTGAAGTAACAAAGGCAGGCCTCATGGTGCAGCATTTTTTTTTTACGTAATCACAGTCTTGCTAAAAATTTAGAAATTACTGTAAAAACATGCTATTTCAGTTTTTTAGATCACATTTATGGTCTATTTTTTCTATTCAGATATAGTTAATAAGTTATAACTAGTTATAGTTTCTGACCATTATTTTATATGAACTTGAAGAGCTAACATATTTCAATTACTGAAAGCAATTTATTTTCAATGAAGTCTCATCTGAACAAAAATATCAAAACCATTACAAAGAAATTATAAGGGCAACCTTGATGATTATGGCTTTATATTCCTAAGTTTATTTATAATTTCAATATTTAACTAAATGCACTGATAAGTTTTTGTGGTGTTCTTAGATAACCCAGATAGTATATCTATTTCTTATTATATGGAACACTTACAATAGTTATTATTGTCTAGTGTGGTGTGATTGAACTTTACTTGTTCTTTCAGTGTTCCCTTTGATACCTCAATGGAAAATATATCTAATCTTATTAATTTATCCGTATGCCCTGCCACTACTCTGAAAAATGTTACTCATTAACATACATCCACCTAATGTACATCATTTCTCCAAAATCAGTATGTTGCTGGAAAGAAGGGTGAAACATGGGATAGATCATAGGTAGGTATAATTTGCCATATTACTCATTTACAAAAGATTGTAACATAGTGAAGGGGTAGTCATGATTGTGCTTTGATAAACAACACTCCTCTACTTTGTAACTAACTAGTTCATCTGCAAAATGAAAAAGAAAATCCATCCTGTATAGTCATTGTCTTGCTGCAAGCACTCAGATATGTGGTGCTATAAAAAAATAAAACTAATAGTGCCATAGCCCCATTTACAAGAAAAACAAACAAACACATGGACTCCATATTCTCCTTGTTTAATGTCTTGTCCTTAATATACATTTTAGATCTCATTGTGAAGTTAAGATGTACACTTAAGTTTCAGGAAGCATGTTATTATTTTTCAAACATCTCCTGTCTAAAAGGGTGTCCACATGTTGATCTTTTTACCTGCCAGTGACTTCAAAACTGCTAGTACTACAGAAGAGAAAGGTTTGGGAATAATGTCTTTGACCACAGCAATATTGTGATTATGTTTTTCATTTTTTCACTCTTATGTGGATGTTGTCAACATCAGCCATGGCTTCAGCTATGAGAAATCAATTCTACCGCAATTACAAAATTAAAAATTTATCTTAGAACAGCACCCTGATTGAACCATTCTTCGGTTCAGGCAGACGAAACATATTGTTTTACAAGCCCTGAATGGCAATGTTTGTTTGAGATACTATATTAACACAGGATTAAGCAAGCATCTATGGTCTGTATCCAAACAATTAGAGCACACATCTGTATACACCAAGATCAAATTGGCGACATTAGTAATTGATTTAAGTTTAATAGGAGGCATAAGCGAACATCATTTTTAATATTCAGGGAATGATCTTTGCTTTCCAATGTTTTGATATTTTGTATAATTGACTTTAATTGTATTGTTTTAAAGTCTACAAAATATGGCCAAATCCCTGTACTACACAGAGCTCTTAAAAACATTAGATTCCAACTGGATATGCCCAAAACATTTTCTGTGCTGTTTAGAATAACCATTTTATTGCTACCCATTAAAAAAAATGGTTCTCAGGTTTTCTTTATTTCTTTTACGTGTAAGTCACTATTCCAGTATACTGTATGTAATAACAGTAGTAGTATGAAATGCTAGTTCATAAAATGAAACATCCCTTTTTAGTTTCTTGGCAGAAAATCATTGTAATATGCATAAGAATACATTAACATGTGTGCAGTATAGTATATAGCCTGGATTATTGTTACATGTATCCCACTATAAATGAAATGGAGCACTCCATTTTTATAACAGTTTAAGTCAATACTTTGTTAAAAAGACAACATCAAAACATTCAGAATTAATAAAAAAGGCATGTTTTCAGTTTTTGCTTTAAACAATTTTATTTTACAATGCAGCTCATTTTAGCTTGGCTTCATCGAGAATATCTAAAAAGGGGAACATCAGTACAGTATGTTTCAAATAAAATGCAGTGAATAGACCACTTAGATATAGCTTGTATGTTATGCAATATAATTCTGCTCATCCAGTAAAATTGACATATTTTTTGTTGTTTTGCTGGTTTCTTTGTTTGTCAGAGTGAGTCATGTTGTGTTATGTAAGTTTGAACACATTAATGAGGATTGGAAATAAAATAATAAAACTTTTAAACAGTATACCATTGGTATTAATATCATGTGCTGTAAATGGGGCTGAAGTGTTTTGGGATATATTTCATGAAAACACAGGTAATAATTCTGACATCTTGAAAATTTCTCTAAAATTCTTATTTGACCTTCACAATATCATTTGCAGCTTGCAGCACAACAAACATATTTGATACCAACGTGCATTTCAATATTGTAGTGCTAAAACATCCACTCACAACTTGTTTTTCTTGGTGTTGTGATTAGTAATGGTATCTAATTGTTGCGTGTGATAATATCATTTTAAAAACATGCGCATATTCTATAAAGCTTCATGCTTCTATTAAATATATTTTTTACCCAAATGTTCCTGTCTGTTTTATTTTGACTTTTATATCAACTTTCCTCTATGTATACACACTTTTTGTGGCTTTTTATGTCTTTAATGTCCTAATTCTTCAAGCAGTATAAAATAATTGGTTATAATTGTTATATAAGATGGCAATGTTTATTTACCCATTATTACCCTTATGATTTTGCTTTGCTTAACACTTTGTTTCCTCTTTTATTTAATGTTTTATTTTGCAAGTGTTTTAATTGTAAGATAGCTTTCAATAAAATGTGTTTTCCTGAAATTAATCTTGAATGTTAACCTTGTCATATTTAGCAGCTGCGTTCAGAAATGCTACTGTAAGCCTAAGAGGGCTAACCATCATTCTTGCAAGATGTCAGAACTATCTACCATTACTCTGTAAGTGGACATACTTGCATAACATTAGTGTTTTTGTGAAGCATGAACATCTAGTTTTCCCAATCAATCATTTCCCATAAATGCCTGTTTTCTAAGTATTGTGTACTCATATTTCAATAATCTCCATTTTAAAACATAATGAATGCCTTGCACACTGTATAACTCTGGGAGAAAAATGCTGAGAAATTTCCAAAAATGTATAATTGTGTTATATATATAAAGTATAGTAGTTGAGCTTTAATGATAAATGACGTTACAGAGAAACTAATTACAGAGAACATAAGAAAATGAAAGCAGGTTATCCAGCTTATCAGTGTTTGTCACTTCCAAATACAAAGTTATTCTACTGTATCACAGATTCAATACTAATTCTGAATTAATTTAGTATTTTTGCCTCTATTTCTGGATAATCTAGTCATTGATAATGCTCTGTGTGTACAACATTTGTAACTCAATTATGAAATACAATAATATTATTAGTTATGAATTACTTATGAAAACAGTATTCTGCCAAGAGCATACAATTGCAATATTTAACAAATCCGCATTGAATGAAATCAGATTCTTCAACCATTACACTTTTTACCAGTATACTTATTATTAAAAACATTTCAGCTTTGATTTGTAAAGTTGTTTTAAATTTGGATTGTAAATATACAAGGTAGATGTGGCAAATTTGAGAAACAAATGTTTTCAAAATGCACAAGTTGTCAGTTTCATTATTAGTACATTTCTTGGATGTAATTCAGACACAGTAAGAATTTAAACAGATATGAAAATATTTTTTAATCTTTGTCTTAAAAAGTCAACAGAAGTATTAAATCATTTAAAACATCTCAATTTACTCAATATAGTTTCTTAATTGAAATTCAGTATACAGTATAATATATGAGATGATTCAAACACTTGGATTAACAATGAATATATCTGCATTTTTATATGCATTATGTAACAAGTGGTACCTAAAGAACAAAAAGTCCTTGTTTTATGGTTTATGACAAAAAAAATGTAATTTTATTTAATTATAGATGGTTTAGTGACCAATGCATGTTTAAAGCCAGATGGCAATTTGAATTGCCAAAAAGATAGAACAAAGACTGTTGTACAGATTATCTGTGATACATACTGTAGCTGAGCTTTGTTTGATTACTGTGAGCAGATGTTATCAACAGTGATTCATAATGATCATTCTACAGTATGTGAAATCTGAGAATATATTGAAATAGTTCCATACCAATGCTATTTCTTTTGATAGCATAATTCACTTTCTGTACCGTGTATACATTTCTAGCAAGATTTCTTTCTTGACTTTGTGTGCAGAACTCTGATGATCATTTATTTATCAAAAAACAACTAGTAATTTGTTCTGTATGCTGTTTTCTACACAAACAATACAGTGCATTTAGCATTGCTTCTGTTTTCTCACTATAGAAGGTAAATAAAAGGTTTATTTAATCTTTTGCACTTCTAACTGCAAATGCAATCATCAACACAGAGACCCATTTTCTACACAATGAGAGACCTATCTAGTCCAATTCATTAAAGTTAACACCTCAGAATTATTTTGTACACTGCCACGGGGATGTCAGTGTTATTGAAAAACAGGCTTAATGACTGTATAAAATATATTCAGTCTTTTTTTTATTCTGCGTAATCAGTGGTTAGATTATATTTATATAGATAAACAAATTGCAACCTAGTACACTTTAATGCACAACATAAGCGCAGCATAAATAAGAGTACTATTAATCTCTAATACCCCTATTGAATTCATTACATTGTCTTTTTGCAGGTCAGGTCAACATGTTTTAAGATGGAGAAATTTGCTTTGCCGGCAGGAATAAACATAATGCATTACATAATACATTTAACAAAACATGAACCCAGTTTACAAATAAGAAACATAGATGCATAAATTGAACAAGTAAGCAGCTTTAAGAAATCATCACAATTTAGAAAGAAAGGATTTGAGTAATCAGAGTGCAGAAAAAAAAAGTTTTATATAACAATCAAAAGATTGAATTAAGCAGATTACAGTTCTATTAAACCTAAATAGGAATTAGCTCAAATTCAAGGAGTGGTTGTGACATCATTGATTAAACATTGATTATCATTGATCACTGGTCACTGATTATATTGGCCTTCCACACAATTTGTGGGGTATAGTTTTCTGGGTGGAATTTTCTGGAGAAGAATAATCGGTGTTGCTCTTCTTGCATTTAAACTTCCATATTTTTTTCAAAGGTTAGCTTGTAATCAGCAAAAGTGCAGTGATATTTGTAAATGTTGATTATTTCAATGTCTTCTTCTTCAATGCCTTGGTTTTGTAACTGGTGGTTACATTCTATATTGAAGGACTTTATCTTTGGTATTTGGCATGAAGGAAAGTGTTGTTATGCCATTTAACAAAATAATTCACCACAGTACCATGCTCAGTGTCTGCAGCTTTGAGGAGACTAAGAATTACAGAGTCACCAGAAAACTTAATGATGTGTTTGTCCTCAAAAGGGCTTCTACGGCTGTCAATATAAAGAATGTACAAAAGTTGGGATAGAACACAACTCTGGAGAGACCTGGTGCAAGAACAAAGCTACTCTGATATAAAACCATTTACCCTCACTGTTTGTGATCTGTTGATTGAAAAGTCTAAAATCCACGGTAGATTATCAAAATTTAGATTGACATTTGAGAGTAATCCCTCCACTAACAAGACTGGAAAGATATCTTGCCCTTACCATGCTACCATGCCCACGTTGTATACACATATATTCACTTCGAGAAATGACCTGAGGTTTTTAATTACCTCAGAGAGTCAGGACTTTGATTCTACATCTCATCTGAAGGACAGCGCTGTTTTAAAGCGTACTATACCATCTCTATACCGGGGCATTAGGACTCACACAGACTGCAGGGTCCCCACTGACCCTACAAACACCTCTTCCAGCAGCAACCTTAGCTTTCCCAGGAGGTCTCTCATCCAGGTACTGGCTCACACCTGCTTGGTTTCAGTGGGTTGCCAGTTGTGAGTTGCGGGGTGATATAGCTGCTGGCATTATGATGTTGTTTCAAAGAGAGAACCAGACAACTATTTTGCTTTCAAGCAATCAGTTACAGCAATATGCACTTTTAAATAGAGCTATGGCTCTCCATGGAGAAGCCCTGCTGATACTGCTTAACCCAAAGAGGATGTAGATGATTCTGTACAGACAGGTGAGACATTTGCTTGCTATTAATGTAGTCTAGGTGATTCCTAGACAAGAATGCTGTGGAGCCTACAAGGACTTTAATTTACTTCACTAGCAAGATGGAACAGGCCCTGCTGCATTTAGTATAACTGGTAAAAGTGTAAAAACATTGGAAAACCCTCCCAAGGAAAAGCCAATAGTACACGTGTGTTAGAACATGCAACATTGCTCCTACACTTTGACAACAGCTGACCAGTGACTTGACACAATGGTCAGAAGAAACTACTGGAGTCTCTGCATTAATTCCACCCAGATCCAGGATGTCCTCTACATGGTTGTGGGCACTGTATTTTGATAAGAGCATTAAACATGGGATGGACAATGTACATTACATTTTACCTCACATTAGATACACATTACAAAAAGTATATCTTGTGATGTATAGATAAAAATATGGTACATTTGAACCTTAATACATTATTATGTTCAACTAGATGTTTTCGTTTTGAAGAATTACTTTGTCAAGCAAGGATTTTGATAAAAAAAATAAAGTGATTGTAATCTCATGTTTGTCCCAAACACAACATTTGTAATATGAGATATGACAGATTAGCTTAAATTCTTTACCATCTCATCAGCTAAAGATGGAGGAAATACCTGTCTTTTCGAAAGGGCTTTTACTTTGTTTTCCTGTTGCTGATGACTTTGAGCAGAAAGGTTTTTGATTTGTACTACAACACCTTTTCCACATGAACCAACTTCCATACCTACCTCAGTTTTGTATGGAAACGACTGTACATACAGTTTTGTATGTACTGATTAAACTACAAAAAGCCAGTGCCATCCAGTGTAAAATCTGGAAAATATCTATTGCAAATATCAACAACAAATATTACTTGGATGTTGGTTTAAAAAATGGAATGCAGAGTTCTTATTTTATACGTTTTTTAAATTTTAAAATCATTTTAAATTTTTTAAATCATTTTTAAATCTGGATTATTGCATGGAATTTCCCACAGTTTACTCCTGAGTTGCCAATAACAGAAAGTGCAAAGGTTGTGCTTAAGGGAAAAAAATCTGTGTTAAATTTGTGTAATAATTTTTATCAGAATTTACACATAAGTACATACATAAGTACAATTAAATATAACTGGAACTTACCATATTTAGTAAAACATTTGTCTTCATTTTGGGATGTTACTCATAAAAAAGTTTTAAGTTTTCTAAATATGGTGAGATATACTTTTAATCCTACACATTGTATTGTGAATGTCAGTATTCATTAAACGTGAATTTTAGTACATACAGTACATGTAAATCAATGTTTAATGTGTCACTCTGTTGTTATTTTTAATAGTTCTCTCCAAATCTGAGATATTATATTGTCCTTTCTATAAATTTAAAGTTACATTTTATCTACATTGATACAAAATATTAGCATTAAGACATCATACGTTTATCCTTTGTGTGTTTTGATGCATTGATACAGTGCCTTGCAAAAGTATTCAGACCCTTGCAATTTTCAGATTTTACAAAACATACCCCACTCATTCAGAGAACAAAAAATAAGTAATACATATTTAACATGAAAGAAAAATGTAAATGTCATGATTGTGTAAGTATTCAAATCCTTTGTTTGGCAAACCCCTAACCCTAAATTACCTTTAAAAAATTACCTCAACAAGCTTCTGCTTGTGTGCAAAAAAATCAGTTTACCTGATTTGACAATAAATACACCTTTCCCTGTAAGGTACAGTAATTCAGTAAGGTAGTGGATATCAAGCAATAATTCAACCATGAAGACCAAGAAGGATTCAAAACAACTCAGAGATAAACTTGTATAAAACCACAGATCAGGAGAAAGGCATAAAAACTTTAAAAATGGATTGTGAAGTATATCTTTGGGAAATGGATTATCATATCCATATAATGGATAAGAAATGGTGTATCATATCACCCAAACAAAGCTTGTCTGTGGTCGTCCCTCCTGACTAGCCACACAAAGAGGAAACTGATTCAGGATGCAACTGTTCTAGTGCTGTTTCTCATCAGCAGGGACTAGGAAGCTTGAGAAGACTGTATGGAGCATAGACGTACCAGGGCAGTGATCCATATTACAGGGCCAAATCTACACTGGAGTGGCTTAAGAATAAGAAAGTTAATGTCCTTGAGTGGGGGTGGCATGTTGCTGCAGTAGTTAGCATTGCTCATCTGTATGGAGATCGAACTGTTCCCTTTGTGTTCGTGTGTGTGTTCGTCGGTGTCTTGGTTTCCTGCTACAGTCCAAAGACATATTCATAGGTGAATTGGCTTTTGGGGAAAAAAATAGTCCTAGAGTGTGTGTTCGTGTCTGTATATACCCTGTGATGGACATGTGTCCTGCCCCGGGCATACCCTGCCTTGAGTCTGTTGCCTGCCGGAATAGGCTCTGGCTCCCCCATGACCCTGAGTTGGATAAAGTGGTCAGAAAATGGGTGAATGGATAGATGGATGTACTTGTGTGGCCCAGTCTTGATTTGAATTCTATTAAGAATCTGTTCAAAACTGCTGCCCAAATATGATCTCCAAGCAACTTGAGAGAACTTGAGCATACTGTATTTGCCAAGACCACTGGACAAAAGCTGCATCAAGCTGGTGTGCACAGTTGGTAGGGTAAAAAAAAGACTTGCTATAATTTCTTCCAGTGAATATTAATTTCACAGTGATGGATACTTATGCAATTAACATTAATTTTTTTTCTCTATAGTTTTTTATAGCATTTACTGTAACATTTCTTACCCTTAGATGTCTTCGGTTTTGGCACTCATGTTTTAAATAAAAGATTAAGTTAAAAAATATTTGCATCATTTTGTAATCTCATAAAGTGGCACACCATAGGGAGGTTCTGAATACTTTTGCAAGGCAGTACATGTAATTACTTTCCATATTGTTTTTTTACCTATTTTTAAAGAGTCCGGAATGTTTTATTTTTTTAAATACATTTCTCTTTTAAGTATTCCTGCTACTAAATATTTAAACATTTGCCTTGCTTACTACTACTGTCATCATTTGGTTCCTGTTTTTTATTCTTTCTGCAGGAGTATGAGTTTCATGTAGATAAATGGTTCATATAATTTGAATTTCTGTGTAAAATAAGTTTGATTTTATTTGCTTCCATTGACCATGAAGCCTTAAAGCAATAAAAGCAGACAATAATTATTGATATAGAAAATAAGTAAAAAGGTCACATTTTAGAAATGACTGAATAAAACTTTGTAGATATAATAAACCATGTATTTAAAAAATACAAAGTGTTGTAAAAGGAAATATCAATGTTAAACATACAAAACAAAAGAGAATATACTGTATATTTCATATACCCCCAGTCTCTAAAAAAACAAACCTTAAAGTGTAACTAAAATAAACTATCTAATTTAAGGGCAGACATAAAATCTATATCATCTTCCTAGTTGAAAAACACAAGTTGTTGATACTATACATTTGTTCTTAGTTTTGCTTTTATGTGTATTAAGAAGAAATGTAATTACAAATGTTCATCTGCTAAATCTCATTTCTCTCTTTTTCTTTAATAATATAAACAACAAAATATTCAAAATACATTCTAATCAAGATTTTTATACTGTATTACAACTACATTATTTCCAGTTTAACCCCCCAAAATAAAATACTATATTTTTACTTTTATATTTCAAGATGTTGAAATTAAATTAAAATTAAATTATTTTAACTAATGTGTCATTAATAACAATTACATTAGGGCAGTAGATAGTAATTTCCAGGGTCATGTCTCTAAGCAAGTATTACAAGTATCTTTGAAGACAAAAATTTCAAACTTGAAAAAAAGCTAAATATTATTAAGTCTTCTGCTTCTCAAATTAACACTCATGAATAGTGGGAAAAATGGGTGATGGACTTGATCTCACCAATGGAAAACATTCCGCTTATTTATCAAAATTTACTTTTACAACATGTTTTGAAATCACAAAATATGTTTAAAAGACAATAACCTACCATATTTTCTTTCTAACAGGAGACTAGCCCGTTCAACTCTGCTTTTGATCCCTTTGTTTGGAATTCACTACACTGTGTTTGCCTTTTCTCCTGAAGATGTCAGTAAGAGGGAAAGGCTTGTGTTTGAATTGGGCCTGGGATCTTTTCAGGTAAAAAAAGTATCTTAAAGTTGTTTTAATAAAATCTTCCAACACAGAACTTTGAACTACTGTATATCCTTTAAAAATGTAACAGAAATTGGGAATGTTTCCAAGTACAGTATATCTGTTATATCAGAACTCACTCTTACACACACAGCTTGGATGTGAACATCTGTAGTTGTATGGCTCACATGGTTAAAAATACATATTGCTACACATTTTATTATAAACTTTATTCAACCTATAATTTTAGGTTTTAACAAGACCTATAATTTTTTTTTTCTGCTATCACAAGCTGATAGGAATTATCGAATAAACCAATTCAAAATTATCTTTCATAGATAACCAGAATAAATATGAACTCCGATATTTTACTTGATTTGTTAAGATAATAGTCAAAAGAAATTAAAAAGCAAAGGGGTTTTGTAATTTTAGAATTATCAAAGTGAACTTCTACAAATTTTAATAGTGAATTCAAATAAGCTAGTAAAATTCAGGGAATGAAAGTGTTGCAGTATTTTTTATTGATGGTACTAAAATATTAAAGATAACAAACAAATATTTTGCAGTTATTCAAGTCATATTTTAAATTGTGAATAAATCTTTAAAATATATTTTTAATTTAATACATTTGGTATTTAATTGTTAGTTAAGACATGACATTAAATTGCAATTTTAATCCGACTATGCAGTAGTGAGTTCCTCAATGTTATGTATACAATTTAATTTCCTCTGAGATACAGTTATTGTCCTGTCTGCTAAAATTGTTCAAAAGAACTATACCAACCCACCTGATACTACATGAAGATGTAGCTTGGATCCTGCCTAGGTAATACATGCAAGGAAAAGTTACAACCCTTCAGGTTTCAAAGGTTTCTTCAATGAGTTCTAAAATGTATTTTCAATCATGACTAACACAACAAGTGGTTCAATTCAGTAAGTAAGAGCCCATCTGAAATTAACCCAAAATATACAGTTAATATCTTTGTCCAGCATAAGCTCAGTATACAGTACAGTATATGCAGCTTTGAATGCCAAAGCTGTTGATTACACCATTGTCAAGATAAATCAATCACAATAACTTAACACCTAAGCTAAATGGATTGATAAGTGGAACCCAATATGAGTAGAAAAGTTACCAGCATAATCCTGAGCTATTCAGTTACTTACATATACAGTATAACATTTTGTTTTTTGTCCCTTTAGGGTTTTGTTGTGGCAGTTCTATACTGCTTTTTGAATGGAGAGGTAAGTTCAAACATCTCTACATTAATCTTTTGACTTGTAAATTCCAGCTCTTTATGCTGTGATTCTTTTTTTAGATACTATATCATTTGCACAGAAAAGTAGTTTATGTCATTAAGCATAAAACATAAAATGCACTTTAAAATTTACAGTCCAAAATGTATCAAGCTAAATAAGCTGCATGCAAGCCAGAGTTTTCATATTATGCTGTTGTTAGCATAGTTGTGTTAGTGTTTATGCAAGTCCATCAGACCAAAAGAAGGTAATTCATTTTTATTTCAGTTTTAAATACATTAGAACATCTAAAATCAAACTGATGCCACCAATAAAACATCTTAGGTTGTATGTTTTAAATACTGAATTTATATTCATAATATTAAATTACATATGTAATATACAGCAACAATCCATCATAAATTATTGAAAAAATAACTTCATTAATTTATACAAGACAAATGTTATTTTCTTAATTTAGATTAAAGTGGTATGTTTGAATTGTAGGACATCGTTTAAATTAGTGCAAATACATTTTAAAATACTATTGTCATTATAGACTTTTACGTTGTTCTGGTTGATGCACTTTTACCAGCTGTCTGTTGTGCAGACATTACAAATATTTCCTATATGCACCAGGTTCCTTTGATTTCATCCATTAGTCCAATGCAGTATAGTGTTCATATGAAATTATTTTCTCTAGTAATATGTAGGAAGTTAAGTAGGAAAAGTAAGACTGAGAACTGTAAACCAGCGTGCACCTTTACAGCTAAGTACATTAAAAAATGACCTTTTCAAGTTTCTCCCTAAAGGTGCAGTCGGAAATAAAGAGGAAATGGAGGAGCTGGACAGTCAACCGGTACTTTGCTGTGGATTTGAAACATCGTCATCCATCACTGGCGAGCAGCGGAGTGAACGGGGGGACGCAACTGTCCATTCTGAGCAAGAGCAGCTCTCAGATTCGGATGTCGAGCATAAATGCGGAGAACCTGGCGACATGAAGTGCTAAATGACATCTGTCAGTATGTTCTGAGAGAAAAGTACAAGCAGGTGGCACTACATTCCTGGTGCCTCAAGAGTGAAAATGACAAATAAAGGAAAGCATGGATATTTCTTGTATATACCATACCACTGAAAGATCCATCTCATTTAATGCAACTGTGTACAGCAGATCATTACATTCATTTACTTTAAAGCAATTCACAGTGTCTTTAAGTGTTTAAAACTCTAGCTTATATTCACCCTTCTTGGCCAGAATCAAAACATCTAGAACATTTGTAAGGAAGTAAATGACACAAGAAAGAAATGTGTTGTACACGTTTAGAGAAAAATAAGTAAATTAACTTCTAGTCTGAAAATAACTGGTTATTAAACCATTTTCAGCTGCAAAAATTCCATTTACAGAATCACAGCACAGGAGATTAGCTGAAATGAAACACCTGTAAATAATCACTCATCCAATATAATTAGCTAATTACAGGGTTCTGTTAACTTCATCAATACATTTATAAGTTCTTGACAGCCATTCCATTACATTCAATGTTATTTTACAGACCCCTTCAGCAAATATGTGAATGGTTAAAGACTTTACTGTGAACAGAAAGGCCATACTAGATGTGTTTCACAAGCTGGGATATGACACAAAAAAACAATGAATGATTTGTACTGTAGGTCAAAAAGAATATTAAAAGCACGGATAAACTCACTGTGATCAAGATATGAAATATTTCACAGGATACAAAGGACACAATTTTAGACATAAAAAATACACACAGAGAAATATTGTTGCTAAAAAAAAAATCAAAATATGAGTAGTTCTTTCCAGGAGTACAAGAGGATTTAATTGGCTGTAAAAAAGCCATAAACCTGGAGGAATTCAGCCAGGATTATGAGTGAAATGCAAATTAACAGGTGAACTGCTAATCTTTGATCAAATGCTAATTTGGAGTGCTGTTCAGAGTTCATAGATAACACTGGTTTTAGGAAGGTATTGTGTCTAGTTTCGGACAGAGTTATTCAGAGGAAATTAAAAAAATATTACCCTCATGACTAAGAAACATGAGTGTCATGTATATACAGTACAGTATATAATGTAGGTTTGTTGTTGTTTTTTTTCTTTGTGATATTTTGTGAAATTCACGTGATAATCCTATTTTACATTGAAAATGCTACTGGAGTCCAATCTGTAGAGTCTTTATTTGGTGTTCTAAAACAAAATGTGTTTTAATACATTTTTAAAATGTAATATATTCATATTATTTTTAGATTATTAAAGAGGCATCACTACATAAATGTGCATTTAATAGCTGATTAAATAGTCTCTTGAATTGATTTAAGGAGCCTCTACTTCTAAAAAATAGTATTGCACTACTTCAGGTGAAAATTGTATTCATTTGCTTTGCTTTATCACAATAATATGCACAATTGCAAGTTGCTTCACAGGTATTACTTTAGCTTTTCAGAACCCCTTATGTATTCAGTGTATAGATTGCAATTGTTTAAGTACTCAAATATACTTGTGCAAAGGCCATCAGAACACTGCTTTAGTTTAAACTACTCCAAAGATTTAAAACAAATCTGATAATTTCTTATGTTGTATAATACCACTGTTTTCGGTTTGCAGGTTGCAACCTATAAAAATTTAACAATTGATGTCAATCCAGAATCTTCTTTCTACCGATTATTCTCTACAGATTTGCTTTTATGAAATATCAGTTCCAAAGTGCCTTTTAGAGTAAATCATAAACAGTATTCATTTATTTGAATTAGAATTTCAAATAAATATTTTTTATTTCAGGAAGAAAACAAGATCTCATATAAAAACATCTTTCTATATTACAAAAGTGCTTTTATTATGCTTAATCAATGCTATAAACCAAGAGGCCTTTAAAGTATTTTAGCTGATTTTGGTTATGGCTGAATACCTTTTTTTGATCTTATATTATTTTTTATCTTCCTTGCTGAAGATGAAACTGATGGAAATCTTTGACCAAAATCTCAATATTCATACTATTGTTTTTCAAATGGTCTCATTTTAGCATTTAATGTATTTCATTTTGCAAGGTGCTCTTGAACAGTGGTGGTCTTTTTATTACTGATGGTAATAATCACAACAATAAAGATGTTTTATACATACTGAGAATAAGACACCTGTATATACATTAAATCAATGATAATCTTGGAAGTAGTCTTAAATACTATATTATTTATCATATTAAATGCATGTTTATTGTTTTCATGTTCCTATAACTTAGTCTGCTTTATGGCTTCCTGTTTCTTTAGTTTTATTTGAAATAATTTAATTAAAATAAAATTCAGTCTCTGCTAAATTATATTTTCTCTTGGAAACCCATAGTTGAGTTTAAAGGACCTTTAAAGAAATTTCATTTAGTAATGAAGAACAGTGTAAAACCCTATTTGCTGCGTGCAGTTAAAACTGTATCTTTTACACTGTCAATTCTGGAATTAAAAATGTTGGGAAAGGTGGAAAATATTTTTTTCTTCAAAGCATAAGTAAAGCAACTTTGATTTTCTTTATTCATTTTGTTGTATTTTGTGATGGATAAAATGCAGGCGGTGAATTCTATGTTACACATAGTCTTTAATACTGAATGTGGTTTTATTATAAGTAGTATTCACACAGATTCACAAAAAAAATATTAGGAATAATTTTTTAAGGAACAGATACTTCCATTGAATTTACTAGATGACTTGCAGCACTTAGTTTCTTGTATATATTTCTCCATTTAATGTTGCCCTGCACAGTATTTGCACTCATTCCCTGATACCTGAAGTTAACACTCACCTATGGAATTTAAAGCTGTTTCCCCCATGTGTCATAGAAGGCTACGCATATCTTTACTGGTTACTTCTCATACTACTAGTTTGCAAGATAAAACTGCATTGAATTATTATCCTAATGGCACAAAAAAAACTAATCTGATGAAAATATCTAATATCAAAAGTCTATTTTGACTTCATTTAATTGACACTTGTTTATTCTGCTAATAGAGACCTTCTTAGAGACCCCCTTGTGCATGTATTAACTTCTCCTTCTAAATATATTAAATGTGGATCAGAGCTTTGAAAAGATAGCAAATTATCCTGATTAATTATTGTATAAACTATAGTACATAATTGGAAAAACAAAAAAGTGAATATTCCGAGTACTGTATTTTACATCTGACACTCAGCTTGTATGAAGGAATAATCACTATATTTATAATGATTGTGCTTAAAGGAACTAAGCACAGTCATCAAGAAGCTTATACTAAGATAAAAAGGCAATTCTGCGAATGTGTTGCTTAGAAATAAAACTTAATCTACCGTATTTGTCTGAATTTTGAATTATCTTGAATACAGAACAGAATAAGTTCCAATTCACAAAATGCATTTACGAAGGCACAACCAATTTGTATGATAAAAATTGAGAACTAGAAAAACAACATATTTGTTGTGCTTTTTCTCATACTAACACAAAGAGGAAAAAAAAACACTACAGAATCACACCAGAACCAAAGATGGTCAAGAAACAGAGATTATCCTAGTTTTTGTTGTTTTGAGTGGACTAGAGATAGCAGTACTTACATTTTCTTTCTTTAGCAACTATTTGTGAAATGCAGTTTTAGAAATATTTGATTTGCTACATTCAGTTGTCAGTTTATGTTATAAGATTCAATAGAAACATTTTTTTAAAACATTGATAGGATGAGGTTTGAAGGCTTCTTTCAGTAGTGATGTCAAAATATTCAGTTATTCTATTAACAGATTGCTGAAGTAACACTTTTAAGTAGTGATTGTAATAGCATAAATGTTAAAAGCAAGGCATTGTAGCTGGTGACAAGTACAGAGGTAACATTGGTGAAAAGCAGAGTTTCAATTTAAGATAATATTTCAGTATTTTCTAAATGGAGTGGTGATAGATGCAAGTGAATAGAATTATCTATCAGTGCTTAAAATATATTTTCCTGGTAATACTGTTGTAAATGTACAGCCTACTGTAAATGTCATCGTATTTAGAAAATGAAACATGCATCTATGGTGGTTTAATTTCTTCCCAAATGTAACATATCTGAACAGCTACTAGATTTGATGTCAAAAGTAGAGGACCGAGATGCTGAAAGTGTTTCCATCTTAAAACTGTTAAATTCAGGGAGATTTTACTGAATGTACCAGTATGGCCTTAGATAAACAGTTATGTTGCAGAAAGAAGTAAAGAACCCACCTTTGATGTATAATATATAATTAGATGTTGTGCATGCTTTTAAATATTTCTGCTGTACAGTTATTCAGATTTTGTGACTGTAGTAACACCAGCAATCATTCTGAATCTTAACACACGGACAGAACGACCATGTCTTAAAACTGTTAAAAAAGTAGAATGAATGGAGAATTGTGGGGGAAAAGTATCTGCTGGATATTTTTCTCAATTATGAATTACTAACACATAATAAGACATTGAGAGTCATTGTGGTGAAAGGTGCACAGTATATGATTATATTAGATTAAAAAATTGTTAAATGGGAAAATGAATTCTTACAAATAAGTAGATAGTTGATGGCATATTAAAAAAAAACAATCCTAAAAGAGTTCTGGGGCCCACATTGGCTCTACAGTAGTTATGTATTGCATGACGTAGACCTAAACTTCTTTTATTACATACAATTCCCATATGCCTTCAGATTCAGTAATCCTTATAACAAACCAAAACGATTATAAACTGTTTTGGCTAAATCCTTGATTTTAAAGGTTTAAACAGTCTAAAAACAGACTATTTCCTGGGTTTAAAAAAGGGTTTAAACACATTTTGGCAATATTAATCAACAAACCATTGGTAGAGTGTATAAAATAGATTAAAACATATTAAATTGGTTTATACATGAATAGTTGTATTATTGGATTGATTCAAAAAGTACTGTTTTAGATTTTAGAAATATTTATAATTTTGGGATTTTTAATACTAATATTTATATACACCACTAACAAATTTTCTGATAAACATAAAACACAAAGCTAATACAATATTTATATAACAGCTCAGCTTTCACTATATTAGGACTGTTTGTTACAAAATGTACAATGAAAAAAAATCCCATATCTTTTCAATAAAACCAGATTTTTGAAAGTTATGGCTGAAACAAGCAACATTTTGAATATCCCTAACTTAGAGTAAATCAAAATGGTCAATTGTTATGTGGAGGGTAGTTGTGTAATATTTAAATTTGAATGTACTGTAACCCATGTACAGTTATTGTAACAAAATATTTTCTCTGTTGTTGGAATCAATTGCCTGCTGTTTTTCACTGTGATGTTGCTGTGAAATTGTTTGATGTATATATATATATTAGAGGTTTTGTATATGACTGAAATATTGACTTCAACTGCAATAAATGTTTTTGACAGTGGAATAAACATTGTGAACTGTTTATTACCCAAAAACAAAAAAGTTACTATGTTTTTTTAGAATTAAATACTTACATTATGAAAAATACGGTTCACTATAATTGAGACATTTTGTCCAATTTGATTTTTCTGATAAACAGGGTGAACAGGGTGTTGCAGCTCAATTGCAATAATTCATGCTTCTAATTCATATTTTTAAACTTTCCAGTTCCAACTTAAATCCAACTTTGAAACACCCCTTAAGTTAATTTTTTTTTTTACTTTGGGTTACTTAATATTTCTCTCCTTTGAATTTAAGTACATCTTCCAATATTGTCAATAATAGAATTTTACTGAATCGTATGAACAATCATCTGATAGTTCTCTTAAGTTGTTTGATTCCTATTTGCCTAAAAGGAGCCAAGTCCTAAACTCTGACTGTTTAAAATCTATGAATGTCAGTTATTCAGGGTGTTCCGCAGAGTTTTGTGCTAGTACCTTTGATCAAACATTTATTGTCTCTTGGTTAGATTGCCTGTGTATTTTGGTTTTATTGTTATGCTAATGACATTCAGATTTATAGCAAACTAAATGAGATCTTACTGCTGCAGTTCCTGCTCTTCATGGCTGCCTAAGATCCAAATGTGACAACATTTCTGAACTGTGATGATAAGAATCATGTTATATTTATTGACTGCTCACAATATCTAGGCAAAGTTAGGAATTCCAATTGTCAAATTTGTTATTTTTAATGTAACTAAATGTGAACCCTTGACTGAAGTTAGTAACCGTCATGTTATTTGTGACCCTATTTTATTTAAAGCTAATGTTAGAAACATCTTAAGAGAACAATTGTTTCACCTGATTTGAAACAGATTGCAATAAATAGATAATGTTCACTTAACAGCAGTTTTGGGAGGTGGTCAAATTCTATTGTTGCAATTCTGCTGCCTTTTGCATAAGTGCTCCCTGGCTGAACACAGCAGTGCATGCATCTTTTCTAGCACTTTATATTTCATTTTGTCACTGATGGATATACTGTATTTCACACTTAGTATTGCTGAGACCTTACCTTTATCGAATTTGTCTCCTACAATCCAGGACTGGCATCACTTTCTTACCTCTTCAACCTCAAATGCTCCATCGAACATAAATGGGTCTGCTGTTGCAAAGCCATCAGCACTTGTCTTTCACCTCTTCTGGTGTCATCAGCCCTTCAAGCCCTTCAAACACCTGCAGCCAAATCATGTTAATTCTTCCCTTCTCTCCTAATTTTACCCACTTCACTCTCTCCTATCAATGTCCTATCTACTATATCATTTGGGCATTTCATTCACTTCGTTCTCCACAAGACTTCCTCCACAACAAAGCATATCCAGATCTACCCAAACAATGTGCATTTCCTGCTCACTTTCTGTGAAATTGCAGCCAAACCGCTCACTCCTAGCTCAGTGTGTGAAATTTGTCAGTGGTTTGGTGATTCTTTTGGGGGGATGTCACAAAATCGATCTCTGACCAGTACTGTCATTTATTCAGCCAAACAAGTTATTGTACTACAACAGTACACTATCCCTTATTTTTGTCAGCCTTTTTGGCTCTTATTGGAATTTGACCAAACTCCTGAATAATGAGTAAACTTATCAGCTATTGTTTAGGCATATGTTTTAGAATAATTGCCTCTTATTTTCAGTTCTAAACATGGGATCCATGGAAAAAGAGTCATGGAGGTTACAACATTTTATTTCAATGCTTTATAATAAGCCTCATCTCTAACTATAAATGTGTGTCGTCTTTTGATAACCTTACAGGAAAGAATATCTCTGCTCTTTTTCTTAGGTAGACTTAGATGCTTTAACATACATTTCTTACGTTTTTAGAAGAAAAGGTAGATGCTTAGAGTCTAGATGTGGGTGATAGAATAGGGCTTAGGAATTATGAAATAATCTTATGGTTTTCAGAACAAACAACAGAAAATGTCCCTATCCCCATATTGTACTGTAGCCCTAAAATATCGTGTTCGTCTTAAATTACACTGTTTTAATACTTGACATACTCATTCTGTGAAAATGAAATGTATTTCTTTCAATAACATTTAGCGTAAATACCCCGTCTCCAAGAAATCACATAAAAATAAAAATTACAATATTTAATCCACCAAGGCTACAAAAAACTGTAAACCACTCTCTCAAGGAGAGATAAGAGTTGCACAGACACAGCTAGAAAACCATTTGGCCATGAACAAAGTAGGCCTGGTGATTCTCAAGTCAAGAAAAGAGATTTGCCAACACCAAAAACACAAGGCCATACATTTGGGGCCACTACTTAGCAAGGAATGCAAGAAAGTAAGCTGCAGTATCAAGAAACTAAGCAAACATACCTTAAAATCATCCATATATATACTATGTACCGTGAACACCATGTGTTGCCATTCTACTGATATTAAATGAAGAACTTACATGGTATGTGACACAACTAACTGCATTAAACCTCAATTAACAAGGGATGTCCAAGCAAATGCCTGTAGATATCACTTGTTTGCTTTTAAATTAAAGAACAATTTATAATAAAAAAGATGGATCCATCAGAATTCTAATTGTAACAAGCATTATTGAAAGAATGCATAATTTAGAAAACAGGTTATTCTAATCCATCCAGGGTCACAGTCAGGAAAATCGAGTCACCCCTCTAGTGGAGACATGAGATATCTCCCTTTCATTGCTTGTATACAGTAGCAAATCATAATTTAGACCCAATAAAATAGCAGCCCAATGCTTGCTGTATTACCACATTACATACTGTACTTTATACCCTACAAAAGAGTACATCCAAAATATTAAATTAAAATTCAGTGTAAGACATCATAATTATTTCAGAAAGAAGTGGGCTATACATGTTTGGTGTCAAAAGATTGGGCGAAACATGAGTAGTTCAGTATTATAACTATCAAACTTGTATGTATTACTCAAAAGAAGTTACTATATGAGTCTTCCCAAATTCTGAACATTTTATCCTGTCTCTCATGACAGAAGCAATAAAAATTCCTGAAAGAGAGATATGCAAGTCACAGATTTGAATTGGCCAACCAGAACCCTGACAGACAAAACACTGGAATGTCTTTATCTGAGGCTTATAAATAGGGCAAGCCAAGAAC